ACTCTTTAAAGGGAATTTTTGTTTTTAACTTCAGAATACTCAAGTGACAGAAGCGTGGAACAAGATTGCTCAGTCCTTTAATTGCACTCCAATAGAAGGTGAGATGACCAGTTCTGATTTGTTAGAATTCGTGTGCTTCTTCCAGCCTTAAAACCATCCCACTTTCTTCAGCTGTTTAAAGTGTCTTATAAATTGGAACCACCCTTCAGTGGAGGGAATGCCACATCCAAAGTGTCTGAAACATGTCCACTAAAAACTGGGTTAACACCGTGAGGTGCTGGAGGAACACAGGCCAGGCAGCATCAGGAGCAGGAAAGCTGACGTTTCAGGTCGGGACCCTTCTTCCTGACCTGAAACATCAGCTTTCCCGCTCCTCTGATGCCTGGCCTGCTGTGTTCCTCCAGCTCAACAGTGTTATCTCTGACTCTAGCGTCGGCAGTTCTTACTATCACTAAAAACTGGGCCATTTTCAGAATGTGACCAGAATAGTCTTGGCAAGTCTCCAACCTTCCTCGTTGATGGGGAACATGATATTCACGTTGAATCTGTTTTCCAATATCCTGCTTTTACTAAGCTTGAAGGAGAAGGTTGCTGATAGATGGAGATACAAATACTCCTAACAATTACTGGCATGGACACCATGCAGGAAGGTCCTTTTTTGTTCATTCTGCTTCAGCACAACTGTTTCTGTTACTTGTTTTGCCTGTATATATGACTCGTGAATGACAGATCGTTTAAGAGGTTTGAGCAAAGAATCATTTATTTACCTGCAAGTTGAGTGCTTTTCAATCGAGGAGCAATAATCTGTTCTCCATGAGGAGAAAAATGATTTGTGCATTTGTCACCTTTTTCCAAATGCTGCAAGTATTTAAACAATTGCATTTGTCTCAAACATCCCCAATTAATGTGATAATTAACACTAACTATGTCCAGTAATGTTTGCCATTCAGTAATAGTTAATGATAGATAAGAGATTGGGGTAAGCATAAATGCATAAATCCTATTTCGTTCGTCCCCAAAGTAGGAATATTAAGGTTTTGTGTTTTTTTTTTTTTTAAACGGGTTCAGAACAATTTTCTGAAATCATCAATTGTTTTGTTTTGGTGGGGTGGCAGGGGTGAAGAAAAAATGCAGTTCTCTGCCATGGCATTACTTCCCCCAGCCCCTCAGACATCAAATCATTGGGTGTAGCTCTGTGGCTGTTGAAGTTTTCTCTGATACCTCCCCAAATGGTCAGATCTGAACTGTGATAGCATGTATCAACAGACATCACTGAGCCCAAAATTGCAGATTTCCACCATCGTTCACTGGCTAAGCAGGATCTTAGGCTGTTACACCTCTCACTAAATGTGCGGTGTATATGGCCTGTTTGTAGCACAACGCCCATGCTCCAGCCATGATGAGCTAAGAACAGATGGAACCTGGAACGTTCCTGGTCTGTATCATTTCAGCTACTCCAAAGCAGATTAACTTCTGAATTTGCTTAGTTTGTATTAGCTTAAAGATTATGTTTCCAGAAATCCCATTCTCCTTTGACATTGCAATACAGAGGTCAGCCTATGTTACATCTCAAATCTTGCAACGAGGCTCGAACTCGTGCTCTTTTCAACTTGGTCGGGAATGCTACGGACTGATTAATCTGACTGACTGGGTGGTGGTTTGGTTGGGAGTTGGGAGTACCAAGAGTGCTGAATTGAGTGTTTCAGATGAGATGTTAAGATGAAACACCACTTGTCTTGCCCGGATGGGCTGTTAAAACTCCATGACCTATGCGGAGATTAAAATTCTGGCCAAGATTCCATCATAAACCTATTTTTAATGCGTTGGTTAAACTGGACATCCATTTCACTTCCTGATTATAGAACCTTGTACTTGTTGCTTGCAGCACTACATTGTTGAATGCAAAAAGCAATTCCTGTAGTTGAAGCTCTGGAGGCATCGTGATGTACTGTACAAATACAAGTTTATTTTTGACATCACCAGAATTTGAGTTCTTTTCTTTCAGGTATGCTATCACATCAACTGAAACAACATGTTATTGATGGGGAGAAAACAATCATTCAGAACCCTACAGATCAGCAAAAGTGAGTGTGATCAAGGCGTGTGATCAAATTTGTGGCAGGTTTTCTTGTGTTCCTGTTGCTTGTTTTACTAATCTGTATAATTTGTATTTTAATTGAAATGTTCAAAAATGTTAACCTGGAAAAAGTGACATTTCTTATGTTGACAGCTTCTTGGTGGCGTTGAAACTAATTGGTTTAATTACTGTTGTGTATTTTGCTGGGTAATGTTAGGATGGTGATTGCGGTTTAGACATTGGCACTTTAGATCAACCAGTATGCAGAAAAACTTGGAATGGTCCATCACTTTAAACTAGGCTTGTTCATCAGGCAGGATTATGGCCCACCATGTGATCCTTACAGCCTTTCACCCATGTTCTTACTAGTTTTAGAACATGTGGGAGATTCTGGTAAGGCAATTCTCCTCCAATCTGAGGCCATTTCTCTTCTACCTTTGATAGACTCACCAGTAGGTGGCAGCAGCAAACAAAGAGAAATGCCCTCTGATTTGGAGACTTTTGTGCAACTTGAGGCCTAAACACCACCGAGAGGGACATGGGGTAAACTTCAAGGAACAGGATGCCTGCTGGGCACGTGACCAGACAAGGCTGGGAGTCAGCGAGCAGCTCAGGAGGTAACAAGCTGAGTCTGAAAATGAGTCGGAAACAGCAGAGTCCCTGTGTAAGAAGCAGGCATTGGATTCTGGACAAACTAGAGTCCAGATGGTGTTGCACAGACTTGCGTAGCCTGCAATGGGAGGGGATGTAGGGATGTGTCTGAACGCAATGGGGAGTGAGCAGTTTTGTTGAGTTGGGAGAATGGGGAAGAGAATGAGACATCAGGTTGGGATTGGTGGGGATGGAAGAGCTGCCTGTTATAGCTCAGGACAGATGTGTGGAAGGGGGAAGAGAGTGAGCATGCATGCAGGGAGGGAGATGTGCCCACATCCAGTAGGGTGGGGGAGGTGTGTGCGTTTATGCACATGGGAGTGCAGGAGAGACTATTTGTCTCCGTGATGGATGAGTGCAGTGCCAGATGTCCAATGAAAGGAAGGATAGCATTTACTCAACCTGAAGGGTGCAAAATGAGTGGGAGGGAGAGAGCTCTGCTCCGATCCCCTTCCCCCTCCCTGATGATCAGGACTTGGGACTTGGTCAGTCTCGCTCTCTCTCTAGCTCTGCTCCTTAACTGAAAAGGCAACACAAAATGGTTTTAATAGTTAGCTCTGCTGCTTGGTACTTCTGAATGATCACTCTTATTAATTACTTAAATCAGCTTACTGCTTTTGGAATTGTTTTTAAAATTCCTGTTTACTTTTGTGCCAACCCTTAGCTTTCTAAAATTTATTCAATGCCCCCTTGAGTGAGAAAATTGAAATGTGATCTCTTGCATGAAAGATTGGATAATGCTGATTTTTAAATGTTATATGATCAGTTAAACCTTGCTGCTTTTCTTCCGAAGGTTCTACTAGATTGATCCCCAGAATGAGAGGTTTGTTCCATGAGAGACTCTGTAAATTGGGTCTATATTCTGTGGAGCTTAGAAGAATAAGCAGTGATTTCATTGAAACAAGCAGGGACTTGACAGGGTTGATACGGAGAAGTTGGCCCCTAGGTGAGGAATTTAGAATGGGGGGACATGGCAAAGTATCAGGTTCAGGGCTGATAATGTTAGAATGAGGAGAAATTTCCTCCCTCTGAGACATCTTTGG